TAAATGGCAGGACAGCTCCTTGTTAGACGCTGGGAGTTTGAACAAAAATACTGAACTGTGGCAACGCATTGCTTAGCACCCTTCCAGCAGAGTTGTGGAAGAAAGATGATAGAAATACAAGAGATCGTGTCTACTAAATGAGGGTTTGATTACGGGAAAAAGGGTAAATGTTCGACATGAACTTCACCATTGCCCATTTACTATAGCGATGGCAGATGTTTATACATTTTTTTTAAAGGCGAAAAGAAAGTCGGCTTTTGTCGGGCGGGAGAGATGATTAATTCGATTCGACTTTTCCACATCCAGTTTCAATCTGGATCCGATGCGAATCCGATTGAACACCGTTCAATCTCATCCTATTCGAAGTCGGATTCGGATCCGATTGGAAAGTGAACATGTCTTTAAATGGTCAACTTCTAACATTTCACTCTTTCCAACATGACTCCATGCAGACCTTGTTTCCGCAATCAACAAAGACCTGGAGGAGAAAAATCTCCTCCAGGTCTACGGAATCACACCAGAAGATAAGTCACACGATTCGACGCAAAGGATCAAGGGCTGTGTTTTTACCATCTTCTCTATGCGTAACGATTAGTCACTGGTGAAAGTTTTGTTGTTATGTATTCTGTTGGCATGATTCATCGTCGTCTGCTGCATGTTCCACTCATAAAAAAACAGTAGCGGATTTCTTTTTTAAGAACGTAAAGGTCAAATGTATGATATACATGGTCTGCATGTAGTATCTCTTTTGTATGGATTGTTTATTTATCGCTACGAAGCCAAGAAATAAAACAGGGTTGACATGGAACTATAGGACGTAATTATACGACAAGTTCATCAACTTTTTACTAACAATACTCGAGTAGTAGGCGGCTGATGACGGTTAGCAGTAGGAAGCAAGTATTAGTCAAACTGACTCCCGAGAGGGCGCCATTTCAGCAAAAGCTGTATACATGTAAGAAGTGCCTGTGCCATGTTGGTTAAAAATGGGGTTTTGGCTTAATTAGGACCTTTGGGCTTTTGCACCATCCTTTCCTCTTCCATACTTTGCTGTAACCTTTGGGTGTTTTGGTAGTAATTTTAGTTCTTCATGGGATGACATTTACTTGCCCAAACCGCAAAAAAGTAGGGACTCCGTTATAATGGCTCTTAATTGACACGACCTATGTGAGCGTTTGCATTTCTCATTCTTAGGCAAGGATTAGCTACAGGAAGAGCTTACAAAAATACCAGCGGGGATTATCCTCCGGGTATTATAGCCTCCACCTCATCGTCCGTAGGCGCATGGGCTCCCGTGGCTGGTAGCTGGCACGCGTCGCCGTTTATCCCCGTGTTCCGAGGCGTTTTGTTGGCGTTACTTTGGCAAGTTGGCGCGGTAACCAGGCTGCCTATTGTGGGTTAGGTCTCTCTCGTTTATATCCCACACGAATCGATCCCGCTAGATATTTTTAAGGGCAAGCCGTGTTACACGACTGATTGATTGGGGACGAGTGGTTCTTGTAGCGTGCAAAGGATGCATTTTACAGTGAAGTGGATCGAAATGAGGGATTCCAGTCGGATTTGTAAGGAGAAGTTTGAATTTGTGCAAGGACGTGTATGAACAGCACTCAGTCGATTGCCTTGGTCTAGAAACATAGGTAAGAACCTTTTGACTTTTTGTGGCAATTTTGAAAGATTTATTACGCTTTGTAAACTGTTTATCTTCAGTTTCAGACTTCCAGACTTCAAAAACCCCTAGATGAGACCACAAAATAAAAAGATTTTACATTATTAATATATCGGAGAGATCATTCTTTGGCATGCAAATTCATGCGAGCACACACTCTGCCGTCTTATTTCTTGCTGTTTGTCAGGTTTGTAATTGTTCTTCAACTTGTCTGGAACTGGGCCAACTGAAACCCTGACGGAACGTGTTTTCTTGGAATAAATTGTTTTATGTGTGGCATGTCAACGTTGACCGTGCAGGCGGGCCGGTGTTTGAGAAATGGCGAGTGCAATTGAACAACACTTCTTCGTTTTGCGGCCTTGTTTGTGACATTATCCGTAAACATCTGCAGCAAAACGCACAGGCGTTATTTTGGCCATCGTTTGGGAAACTTCCGACTCTGTTAAGTTACACCAGAGGCATGGGAAAATTGCCCAGCCGCTCATCGGTTCTGGCCTTGATGCAATGGCAGTGTAGGCTGTTTTTCTCGAGTAAAGATCAGTGGATAAACTATGAAGAGAAAAAACAGCAGGTGGGAATCGTCTCCGACCCCCTCCCACGCCCCACTCAAAAGATCAAAGCCTCATATTTAAACCTCTCTGAAAATGTTATGGTTACGTTTCCGGGAGTTCTTGCACGCGGCAAGAACGGAAGCTGCACTCGTGTCAATGGAGGACCAGGGGCCCCGTCCAACCATCATGGACAAGGGTCCGAGCGTGTAGGTGTTTCCCCGCGGGCTCGCCGCGCCGCAAACACCCGGCCTCTGTCCCCTCCTTTTATCGCCCCGGAACGACGTGCCCAACTTTTCATTCGTCGCGCTGTGTGATCTGTGAGAGATCGATAAACAAACACCCGGAATTCTATTGCCCAGTCTTCAGTTGGCCGTTCGCCCTTATAAAAGTCAGGGTTAGCTCTCAGCGATATTGGGTGAGGCCACTGCGACCGCAACACCAACAAACCGAGCCCTGGAAGCGGTAGCGTAGGGCATATTAACTTCTGGAGTTATGCCGATCTAAGAGGTCAACCGAACGAAAATTTTGATTAATAAAAAGCAAAAAGACTACAAAAAGGGGCTAAGATCGACCTATTTTTCCTCTCACTGTAATCTGATTTACTCATTTATCACACGCCCACACATTGCACTTCTGCTAACTCCCAGTAAAGGTTATATCGGCGTTGCAGTTTGATGTTTGTGAGTTTCGGGACGCAATGAACTGTGATAACATTGAACCTTTTTCAGAATAACAAAACTTCAAACTAGTATGGCAATCTGCTAAAGAAAAAAAGACCATTTCGCTGTCACGGTGATAGGTTGCGGCTTGTTAATTTTGCCGAGTCCTTAGACCAGACCAGAAAGGCGACCTCATTTACCATGTAATTGGACAGGTGACCTTGGGTCACATGATAAAGTTCGAATGATTGGATGGCACCCGCAGATCACGTTCATGTTTTCCTCAAATAAGCATTAGGCACAATTGAGTCCTCCGAAAACAAACTTTCACAAACTTGTCGGCGGTCCCGAGAAAAAAATGTTTCACATTTTTCGAGGTAGACCCCACGTCTGCTCTCATTTTACATTCATTACGCCGTAAAGTGCTGGTGAAAATTTACGACAGCCGACAGACAGGTATGCCAAAAAGCGCGCAAGGAGAAGTGGAAAAAAGTTTACGAAATTTTCCATAGCCGCGGCTGCGGGATGAGCGGATAAATAGGCGAGTGGTTCAGGTTCTTGGAGTGAATTATCGCAATCACTCTTTGGTATGATACCGGAATTTTAACGAGACAATCGAGAGACGGCGGGAGCGGGAACTTGAGAGAAAAATAAAGCCCGGTTTGTTATGACTTCCAAGTCAACTGCAATGTTGGGTTTTATGGCCCCAGTGTGATTCGTGTATTTTCATGTGATAGGCAATACTTATAGAATCTAGAGAGGAAAACATTACGATGATTCGCGCACGACTTTGGGAAATTCTGTGATATATCATTCTTTGTTGTTCAAGGAAATGAAACCGAAACGTAAGTATAAACGAAACAATGATCACACAAAGGGTTTTAATTTACAGAACTTAATCTTTTATCATAGGGCTGCGTTTTATTTCTTGGTAGAGAAATCTGTGGTACCTTCGATTCGTCGGGCTTTGTAGTACATGATTGTGTACGTTAAAAAAGTTGCCTCCCGTGGTGTCCCAGCTTTCGCGTGGTGTTTTCATATCAGGAGAAAAATGGGGACATTGCCTTATCCATGCCAGAAAGGGCTTAGTTTCCGTAACGTCCTTAGTGCTGCCTCGTTCCCATGAAGCACGGCATGCACCATAGCAACAGTGCCAACGCCGATGCCTGGTGAGTGTGGAATGCCTTCAACCGCACGAAACGCCGAAAAAAGAGAACGCCTCGCGTCTGTAAGTCACCGTCTACATAGACCCATTAACGATGCGAACCAAAAAGTGACGTCGGAGCCGCGCACGCTATTTTTAGGCACGTACACCTGGGTCTTTGTGTCCTCCCGCCGACTGGAGAACCTTTGACCATCAGAAAAAGAAAAGGACGCAAAAAGATCGCGCCACCTCTAATTCACTTATCTGTAAATGAACTGAGACATGGCCACTTTACGCGGTGACGTAATCGCGGAGCTACTCTGACGTAATCTCGCAGTCGGGCGTACAGCCCTATGTTCCTGATCTTGGTACGATTTAAAACAAAGAATGCGTTTTCAAACGCGATCGACCCCGCAGGTTTTTTCTTATTTTTAGACCAAGGTGCTGTGCAGGCCCATTTCCAACATTTTAACAAAGGGGGGGGGGGTTCCGGGGAATAAGAAAGGGATAACAGTGGAATGAGAGCTGAATTCGCAGATTACGAATCACGCATATCACGACGAAGGAAGCGAGTTCTCAAATGTAAATGAATGCCAGGAGAAGTCCAGATTCGAGATGGACAGAAAGCGCAATATGCACTCTGGGGTTCATGAGGCCCGTGTTTTAAAAACTGAAGAAAAGATGCCAAAAAGTCGAGCACGCTTGTAAACACACGTTGTGCAGCAGGGAAAACCGATTAGGTCGTTATAGTCATCGGCCAATCCTAGAACTCATCTCTGCCTCCTACAAGAGATGTAAATGCAGTGCCGTCGCGCCAACATTGTGGCTAGTTTTGCCCTTGAATTCTCCAACCATGATAGTGGCTCACCCTCTTCCATGATCAGAAAGGCTCTCAACAGACACAGACTTTGCCAACCAACGGCTGGTAAGCCTGTATGAACAGCATTTGTATAAAGCAAAGCGAAAAGAAAAATACAAAAATACGCTAGACACAGAACAGCAGTCAGCATTTATTGTAAACAACATAGGCCTAAAAGATCCATGAAGTGACTTGTCCTGCATCAACATTCAAGTCTAACTGCATAGAACGGTACCTTTTCTTTGTTGCACGACACAAAGAAAACACACGTAATAACAGTCCAAAGAAACACTGCGTGGTACCCGTTTTGGGCGAGTGTATCGATATAAATAGTAAACCTAGTGTTGATTTTACACCTAGTACTTTTCAGTGAACGACATACGAAGGGAAAGGAATATCCTCTGGGTGTGGCCCCCTTCCCTTTCATTAAATCATAAACCAAAGATAGCCAGATTATCAAGGAGTATACTGTGTTCTCTATGCCAACTTTTTGCCCCCCCCCAGCTTCCCTGTCTCTCCACACTTTCCTGGACCCTGGATCTCCTGGAGCCCAGGCTCTGGGGCTGAAGACGATTCTTTTAAGGGATCCGTCTGCACTCTATGCCCCTTGATCTGATGGCCAATACCCCAGGTTCCACTTACTGTTCGCAACAATGAATTCCCAAGTGACCAGCCCCGACGTCTGAAAAGACTGATTAGCCTATATAGACAGCAATCGAATGCTTGTTTTAGGTATGGGCCAATTTGTGCGTACCAGTGTGAATATGACAAGTAATTTTATACTTGTATCAAAATTTACCCTCCATTCAACCTAACTTACATCTACCATTTTAACAATCATAAATACTAATATATATGTATTCCAGTGTCTGTTACTAATCACAAGTTGTTGCTTGTTCGTTTACAGTTCGCACAGACTGACGTGTGCGTATTATTTAATGTGTTATACCATGGTTATACTAGTCACAAGATTGAGAAATTTGAAGTAATGTACATGTATGTCAGATTTCGCGACTGGCCTTCTCCTACCCCACGTGGGTACTTTTTCGCAATTATCGCCTCCCTATGGATTGGGATCTCTTATCTGTTCTGCATGCCATCTGCTTCTTAGTTTTCTTGGTTTGTCATTTTGCACATTTGCAGCGTGGTTGGTTGGTTGGTTTTCTTTGTGGGACAGGTTGGCATAGTTGGCCTGGTGTTTCTTTCTTGCTCTAGCTCTCACCTGTGGGATCGAATCCCACGCAAGCCGATATGTGGATTGGGGTTGTCGGTTCTCTACCGAACTGTGGGATTCAGAGCATTCTTCTAGGTTTTCCTTCCCCCTAAAGTTACTTTTTCCACTTTTGTCTCCTCTCTACAGGCTTCTGCAGGCTTTGGGGCTACCGTACCTTGAGGTATTTCTGAGGAATCCTTGGTTTCATTGCCACAATGATAATAATGCAATCACGTATAGGAGATCGTTGGTACAAGTCCCACCTGAGAGGTGGGAAGGCTTGTAAACTTTCTCCTTCCTCTCACAGATTCCTGGAAAGCCTGACATAAAAGAAAGGGAACACCTAGTATTAGATTTATTCATTTTCACGTTCAGGCTCTTTATCGAAATCGTGCACTTTTGTTTTCCCTGTAATTTGCTTATTGATTTGTGCAAAGGTAACATGGATAACAAACGCCGTCTCGTGTTCCCGAGCTCAGCTATCTCTCCTAGTGGTTTCAAGTCCTCTATCTGCATGTCATGAATAAGTCAAACTACGAATTTGCGCCGAAAAGACTTCACCCCCCGGCATCCATCCAAGCCCGCCCCCTGGATACCCATCAGAGTGTCCGCCGTACAAGTGGCTCGTTCCAGGAATGTAAAGTTCCGTTTACCTGCTGCGGGATTCGACCCTCCCGTGGGCCAATAGCCGTCTATTTTTGAAGACGATGACATGTCCCCGGAAAGTACTCGTGTTTGGAGTGCTGCTTAATCGTTTCCCAGTGCATGACGGATGAAGTTACGCATTATAACAAAAAAGCGAGGAGGGAAATTCAGTAGATTTTTCTTTTGTAAGTAAAAACATAACGCAGTGTATTAAGTGCAAATTGTGCAAAGATCTTGGCATGGTTTGGCATTATAGTCGTAAGGACTTTTCACTCCAGTATCCAATGTCACACCTTTGCGACAATGGGCAATGCTCTATATAAAAATGAAAATGACTGCTTTTAATGATAATGCTCACTGTGATTACAGGCTTTGGATGTGTTTTGGATACCTGCTTTCAAGATCACATTCTTTTCGCCTCTCTTTCCCATTTTCAAAAAAACTTTGGGTGAAGTTCGAAGTCTCGATTAATCGACTGGTGATCTCAAAACTACAATGTATTTCAGGTTGCCCTAGGACACCATAATTTTCGAGGGGTGCAAATTTCACGAGCAAAGATAGCATTCTCCTTGAATAATTGTCGAGCCCATAAAGTCTCAAACTTTGTTTCCCTTCTTAAGTCTCCTTGTTTCTTATTAGAGAATGGTAGCTACATACATCACTTTCAGCTGTGACATGCCCCGCCCCTCTCCGTTGCTCCGGGGAGGAGCCAAGTCACCGATAATAAGAGATGTCTTCTGTTAGAGGTCAATACCTGACGTGTAATTGTTTTGACTTAATGCAGTGGGCCACCGGTTATTCCATACCTGCAGACAGCGAGATTGTTTGGCGAGCGCATGACGTCACGATTAACTCCCGAGGGACAACAACTCCCATTGGTTCCTTTCTTATTTGACGTCACTGGCCCGAGCCAATTTAGCGCAGAGACGGCGCGCAGGAGATGAGCGCATTCTTTTTTTAATACGACACGGAGAATTAAAATCTCAGCAGTTATGGGTCTCTGTGTTTGAGCGGAAACCCCCGGCGTGTCTCACCAATCGATCTCCTTCGATTCGGATAACAAGCTCAGCGCGAGATGGACCGGACGCACAGTACTATGACGTCTCGACTGGAGGCCGGCATACGTGCGTGCGTGTCCATGCTTAGGGCCAGTACTCTGTGTACGCTTCGGCTTACACGAGAGGCACCAACGACTGCGTCACTTTAAACTAACACCTGTTGCTGTCTGCGTCTGTGATCAAAGCGAAGCTTCTCAAAATGTTGGTAGAAGGTCCAAGCAAACCGAAACTTTGGGTCACCTATTCAATTCTTAAGCCTCGGCATCCAAAGGGAAAACAAACATGAACACTATATTTTTATCAAAATTTCAACCCATCCCAGTTACCAGCCGCCCGCACAATCGCGGTGTTCCGCGTCTGTTAAGCATGATCCCGACTTATCTTGATCAGAAATTTCAACGCAGCAGGATGAGCAAACATCGCTCCACGTGATTCGATTGGCAAACACTCCCGTGAAAATTCACATACTGAGATTTTCTAGACAAATAAACTCCTACTCTATAGTCGAATAACTCTGGTGTAAAAAAGTTGGACTCTCGGGACTCGAAATGACGGCCGTAAACTTAATTACACTCCCAACATCACTGGCATTGGACGAGCAAACAGCGCAATCTGCGCGATAGCAAAGAAAACTAATGCTTGAAAAACAACTGGGATGTCCACGAAATGGATCGCGACTCAGCTCTGGGGACGAGAGACTGACGCAGGCGAAGGGAAAGAAGACAAGAGCCGAAAAAGCCGAATTTACACGATGTTTTGATATTTTAGGGAGTGTTGTCTTTCGAAAAGTTGACCTACCTGCAACGGATCGTTCGCATTTTAATCTTTCCTTCTTGCTTGGAAAGTGCACAGGTGTTGGGTGCACGATGTCTATAATCTGAATGCTCTTTCAGGAGCGTAAGGTGGGCTACAGATGAAAGGTGCCTGTCATAGCGTGGGAGGTTCCTCCCATGGGTGACGTAATTTGTCTGCTTTTCCTGGACAAATGGAAACCAGAGATCTTAGAAAATTGCTTTTTTTTCTGTTTTTAGCCTAAGTTTCGCCACAGAAGGGCACGCAATAAATAAAGGACTGGTAAACAGCATCGATCCTGAAAGTAATGGTGCAGCACACCCTCTGGAGACGGACTACACGCAGAAAATGAGTTTACTCTGCAAATTCTCAAGTGGAATGTGGGGGTGTGCGCGCTCAGAATGATCTCCACCAAAAAAGGGAAGAATGATCTAGCTTATTTGATGAGCTGCCAAGTTAAAGCTTTTCACTCACAAAAAATCGACAGAGTTTCTTAAGAATGAGCTAGTGAAAAGAGACAAGAGACAGATTTTCTTCCAAGTGAGTTTAATTGCTGGAGAAAACTTGCGGCGCATTTGACATTTGTCAAACCTGGCTGCCGTAATACGAGACGAATCTACCGGTCTTTTCTGTGAGGGTTGCATTAGCCCGTGCGTACAACACTGGACCAGTGCGGGTATTTATATTGACGAAAGCTGCCCCGTTAACGTAAAGTACTTATAAAGACGTACTCATACACTCCTAGAAAAAGGGGTGGATGAAAAGATGATTATCTGAAAACAAGTTGATTGAAATTTTCTTTTTATTACACAACAGCGCGGAGAAACACATTAGCTGCCGTCGCTAAAAAGTGCACGTTGAGTTATGCGGCGTGCCCAGATAGTGTAAGTGGGCGGACACATTGTCAATTGCCGGGGTCGTGTTGCTGTTTTAACGAATGTCATAATAGGTTTTGAATTATCTTTAATTGCTTTTTATTCGAGGAGCAGGCTGTGTTGCAGTTTTCGGACGAGTCAATTACGTTATTGTCCGTTTTGATATTTGTTACATCGTCTTCAAGTTGTTTGTGACTCTCTCGGGAGTTCAGATTGGGTTCATGGCTGTGAACCCCGTCTTTATCTCTTTCTGGATACATTAAGCAAGACTACACAATAATTTAAAAAATATCGAAATTCACTTTTCATCCCACTGGATACTTGCATTTTGTCTTTTTTTTAAACATTTAATCTCAATTGTTTGATCAACTTCGATTGCTCTTGCGCATCTTTTGCTTCCAACCGGCACTTTTTTCCCGTGTCCATCACTGACCGACGAGGAGGTTACATATGAAAATCTGAATGTAGTTGAGTTCGAATCTCGTGGAAGAACACTGTACAAGAAATCACAGGAGCAACGCTGGTGCTTACAGTTGAACAGTACTGGCATTCCACATGCAAAACCAGCAATGCTAAAGTTTAAACCTTGAACAAGCGTTCAGTAAGGCGGTATAAGGTGTTACTTCCTCAAATAAGTTACAGCTTGGCCGTCGAACGCTCAGAATGGGGCCGGCCACTGTTTATTAAACTGGGGGGAAAGAGACGGCCAAATATTACCGAATGATGGAAAGGGAAACACAAGCAACCAAATCAAAATCAAACGCGGAGGGGGAAAAGTTCAATATGAATATCTGAATAATTCCAAATAGCAATCACGGCGAGTGTAGGCGAATAAATGTAAACTTGACAGTGAGGGGAACGTCCCACGTCAGTCATGCGCGTCTTCGCTCTCACGAACCCGATCTGCTGAATTACTGGGCCAGGCAGTACATTGACCGGTATTGATAAACACGGCGCAACTACACGGGATGAAATATTTACAGTCAGAGGATGAGAAACATTGACTCATAGCAGGTAGGCAGAAATTGAAGAGCGCAGATGCTGCAGATGAAGCCGCATCAGTTGCTTCATCATTCGCATTTATAGATCTCTCCCTCCATAAACCCCGTCATCTTTGTGCTGAATCTACAGACGTTACATCAGGGCATACGATGATTACTCGCAATGACTCAATATTACTTACGAGCTCTCTCTCTCAAGAAAAAAAATCATTTGGGATGACTAGTGCCAAATCATTGACACATATTGTAAAGTATTGATACCTTTATGAAATATGTAAGACGTTTCTGAGGAGACATTCCCATATATGGCGGGCTTGAAATACCAATTTCCAGGAACTTTGATTAGTTGGATTTTTGACTTTCGAAATCACATTATGATCCAAGATCTCAGGTAAGGTAAAGATACAGTACTGGTTCTTCTTGGTCAGTAAAGATAAAAGCTTTCCTCTCTTACACAAAGTACAACCACTCTTAAACTAATGATCCCGCTCTGTCAGAGAGCACACCCGTAGAATCAAGTATCGGTTAATGATGGTTGTGTTAATATAATTAGTATACTTGAGAAGATATTGTTCATCGTGAGGTCTCAAAGAAAACTGTGGATCATCGAAACGCAGTGTACCAACACCCAGCCGAGTGAAATTCAAATTGCATTCAATTAAATCATGTGCTGCGATTTCAAAGAGGTTCCTCCCTTAAACATGGCACCAATAGGTAGATTTCGGAAAACCAGAAACCTTCCGAATGACAAGAAAACATATAAACAACAGCGAAAGGCAGGGTGGGGAACAAAGGATATAGGCAAAGGAACAGCCTGGTCATCCTTGCAGCGTGACAGTTTTAGGGACATCAGAATTAACACTGGTTAAAAATTCGCCACACTGTTTCATTTTGATTCAATCAAGGATTTCACTTGCGTCACACTGCTTTAAACTAGGTCTGGGCTTCTTATAAATTAATTTAGCAGAATGGATATTTCTGTACAACTTTTGGCACGACAACAATGTGAAATTAATTTTCGGGGATTAAAGGTCTGCACTTAATAACATTACCCAATGTATGTGGATGATTCTTTCGAACTATCAGATAGTAAGAGTTGTTTTCTACTCCAACTTCAGAAACAGTTTCTTCAGAAACTTGAGAAGGATCCCCATTGAAAAAACTCCTCTGTCGTTTAAAACCACCTGGAGAACAGTGCTGACGACAAAGCACACAGTAGAAATCATTAAAATATGATGTTGACAACTTCAGATTCGCCCACTCGCTGCAAAAGAACAATGGCCCGATGTCCCAGATTGCGTGTACAGTATTGTCACTGCGCACGTACAATTCTAGTTTCTTCAGGTGTTATGGATGAAAGTCTTGCGTTTGTTGCGCCACGGAGAGACGCTCGATCTTCACGTCATTCCACCTGATTCTGGAGAATACAAGAGACAGAGGGGGCGAGGGATCCACAGCGGGAAAACAGAGTGACATTTCAAGTTGTGGTCCTCCCGAGAAATCACAGTTCCTGAAGGTCTTGCAGCGCGCGTTATCTGCTGCCAACTGAATTTCACTGTGTGTAACAAGTCCAAGACTGGTGCGATCAAGGATGGGAGGTGGTCACGCACATGGTGGCCAGCACACCCAGAACAACGTTCCGATTCAATGGGTGTACCCTGTCGGCCGTGAGGTAGAAAGAATACCGAAACACTCCAAATGACCTTTCACCGTCCGTGAAAGCTCAGCAACCGGCCTCGCCTACGGACTATAACGACACGTGACTGAAAGACCAACCTCGCTGTAATTATGACCATTCACACTCAGGGCCACTGCAACACACATCTCAATTAATGCTTCGCTAATCAATAATATTATACAGGACCCGATCTCTCTCACACAGAATTACTAGCGTAAATTAACATTTACACGTGCATGTACACATATTTGAATAAAAAACATTCAAAATCCAACGTAATATATAAAAAAAACCACTCAGCATAAATTTAATAACAAGAATTCAAAAACAACAGCAAAAGCAACGAATGAAAAAAAATCGAAAGTAAAGGCTCAATAAGTGGGAAAGTAAAAAAAATTAGAATATCAATAATGAACAAAATAAATGTAAAAGAACATTTTTCTAAAAATGAACACCGATGTCAAAGATAAACGACTACAATAATGAAAAAAGATATTTCTCAAACATTTGTCTCAGTATGCCTGCATTTCTAATACACCAGTATATAGCACGGAATGCACGGAAAAGCACTTTTGTACCTGAAGTTACTTTTTTTACGGTTTTGTATTCAAGCTTACACGGTGAAAAGTACACTGATTTGTGCGCGTGCTTATATAGGAGAACCTCTCGATACAAAAGATTTATCGGGGAAGATTCCCACTCCTGTTTCGTCTGTGGTTAGGGTTCAATCTTCCACCGAGTTCCCACGGTTAAGGGTCCAGAATTATGACGTTGAAGTCTGACAAATAACAGCCAAAACTGGAAATAAAGCGACTTTTTGGAGATGACTTTTGGCAATATTGTAAATGTAAATTTGGCACTATGCAAGAAAGTCAAGACTAAGGGCATTCATTCTCTGATTATTTTAGATCCAATGATAAGTAACGCATGGAATACTTATATCTAGGAGGAACAAAGAAGAGTCGAGAGATGTGACGTCATGATGCCAGGCCTCTGTTTTAACACCTGTTAATACTGACAAAATGAAGCTGTGCGTTAATTGCATGCGGTGACATATTGTTTACGACGTCATACTACTTGCGTGTGTGTCCAGTGACCAGCTGAGTTATCACTCATGATGAACATTACATTGGAAGATAAGTTACAAACATGTTTATACCAGCAGTCGCCATTTATATCAGACCAATATCGCTAAATTATAATGACCGACTTTTTGATTTTGTGAGGTCTACGCCATGGTGTTTCCCGAAACAACTTAATGCTTTCTTCTCCTTCAAGACGAGACACAAATTATCCCTAAGGCGGTCATCGCTGCAGTATTCCCTAATAATCGCCAGATGATGATTTTTCGGACTAAGACTAGGACTTGGAAACATTGGACTCCAATATACAACACTGCCATCAGCACCCTTCCACTACCCACCCCCACGTGCACGAATAAGAACTTGGAAGAAGTGATTCCATCTCCTTCGCCCTTTTTCTCCCTCCGCCAGACCGCCAGCCGCCTTCCTCCTTTCAGTCCTTGTCGTGACGATATATACGGGCCCATTCCTGTCGACACCAAGACCCGTCTATACACTCCCACCCGCCGACGGCAGCTGGAAATTGATTCTGCGGGGGGAGGGGGCTAA